GGTGTAACAACAGCTTTAATTAATAACAATGTTTTAAAACTGTGAAAATGCAGCCTAGGCGGAAGTTCAATGGAATAAACTGGTTACTCGGCTTTGAACCAAACCTCCACGAAAGCCAATCAGAATCCAAAGTTCATCTTAAAAGGCCTCCGATCCGCAACTCATCTGCTACCTAGTGCGCAGGTGGTGGTTGCGCTGTGTGACTTCATTCAGATGACCCCGTTTCAACCCACCTTCACCATTGTAGCTAAAGCTTCATCAGAGTTTCATTCCTCTCGGACTCTTACTGCGTTCCACTTAACATCTTAACCGGTCCTGCAGAAGACCACCATGTTAAGCCTGGTTCTGCCAGAGGTTTCTTCCCAATGGGGAGTTTTCCTCTCCACTGTCACTTCATGCTTGCTCATCATGAACGGTCTTTAAGCCCTTTTTTATCCAAACTGGACTTCCATCTTCCAGGTCCCAGAATGAAGCTCTAGTATCAGCTCACACAGTCTTCTGGATCTCCCCATAAAGCTCAGCAGACCATCTCACTAACCAGCAGTCTACAGACTGACCAACTTCAACTCAGCATCTTCCTGGAAAACCTTTTATATGTAGAATCTGCCTGCACCGATAGGAACCCCCAGTAGAATTTACTGACCCAATAAATCTGAAGATAAATTAATACTCCAAGTCTAAAAGTGAACTCTGATGCACTTTAATGACTGAACATTGCTCAGAACCAAATGGTTCCTGATTCTATCAGTAAAAGGATCTGGATCCAGCTGGTCTGTATGCTCGCTCAGAGGACCAGCAAATTGACCCAAACATTTGGACTTCATCTAAGTATTGCTTTTAAGTTGACTAACTTTGAATTTCGTTAATTTCTGAGGTTTACTGTAATGAAGTACCTGTACTACATTACAACTGCATTTGTATTTTTGTTAAATCAAGACATTTATTTCATTAGATGTGAGAAAAATACTTCTATACTTAATAAGTAGAGACAGGTTTACCCACTATGAATTCAAATATGAGCTGAATTTATCATGAAAGGATTTGTTTATGTGATCAAGCGAAGAAGAACTGGGCTCTGTTTTCCTGATCCATATTTCTTAATGGTTGGTGCCGAAAGTTTTTAAAGTGGTTTTTAAGTATGCTTTTTTAAAAACAGAAATTTTCATATCTCTTATGCTTCTAGAGGAATGAGGAAG